ACCAGCTTCACCCAAGCTTAGATATGGACAAAGGTGATCTTGTAAAGAGAATGGAAGACAAGCTGCTATGAAAATATTGTAAAGAAGTGCATGAGGCAGAACTTCGCAACCAAATTGAGCATACTTTAGGATCTTAATTTCTTCGGTCCTTGCGTAGCCGATCCTTAAAATAATAAAATTGTGTGATTATTTGCTTGCTTCCTAATGTCTCAAATTTCTGTTAAAACACCCCCAATTTTCAAAAGTCAAGTTTAGTCCTTCTTCATCATTATCACCCTCACCATCACCAGTGTAATTATCATCATCAACATTATCGGCGTCATCATCATCATCAGTATCTCCAGCATCATCAGCGGTGTCATCATATCTACAGGGTTAAAGCCCAAGTCAATTCAGCCTATGGTGCTGCGAGCTTCAGTAAAATAATATGCTGCTCGTTACAACTTCAAGGCAGACACAGTGACTCGCACTTGTACCACCAATCCAGATTGATAATCGACATGTCATGTCTTTGTAAACTTCCAAAGGGCATGAAGAGTACACGATTTTAGTGAGTTTACGTCATTTTAGGCTATAGAGCAAAATACAAAGTGATGGTTTTACAAAGCAGTGCAGATCAAATCAAACATTTTGTCCCGAGTTGGAGTGCCCAATAAAATGTGACAGATTCGATGGAAATGTGCATCTTCCAAGTCTAACAAACCAAGCATTCTGACGATGCTATTCCCTCCGAAACAGCCCCTCTGATAGCCCGACCTATGCATTAAGCCGAAGCTCCTGAACTAGACGAAAATCGCTCTTTCTTGTGGCAGATAAATGCTTGCAAGTCACGCACGAAGGTGTAGAGAAGTAGGCAAGAGGGATAAAAGCAAAGAATAGTGAGTGTGCCAAGAAGAAGACTTAGAGAGTGATTCTGATTCTGGACAGTTATGGCAGAGTGAAGCGATCTGCCAATTCAGCTTGTGCACATTTAATGCACGGTCTAGACGTATATAGTTGGTCCATCTAGCTGGTCGACCTTGAGAAGGCTCAGAGAAATCTTCAATTGATCCGATAAGTTGAGCTCTTTATCCACCCGACGGCACCATGAACACAAACTCTATTGGCCACTACTAAACATATTGACATAGCAACATGAGATTAGAGCAGGCTTCGAGATTGTCACTAAGTCGTGAATAAGAATTCAGTCAGCCTATGTAGCTTATGGCGATTTAAGAATGGATAGTGGAGTCTTCCTCCAATTATATGAGTGGGCTTCACAATGCCGGGGACGTTCACAAAAGCTCTTCTCATCCCGACTTGACGGGACTGCAGTCTCGACCTGGCCCGGGTCTAATCGGTATCCACATCGGGATTTGCGTTTCATAAGCGCAAAAAGGCCTAGCATGGCTAAAAGACGAAACTAACCCCAGGGGTCCGATCAGTTAAGTCACGCTTGAAAGCTCTTTGTCTAGGTCAATGGTGCAAATCATATTTGGGTGTGAACAGTACACGATATTCAAAGAATCAGATGGTACCGGTCAATGTGGTGATGGGCTAGAAGAACAGCGATTAGGGATGGTGGCAAAAAAGTGATTAAGTTGCCTGAACAAAGTAAATTAAAGGAAACTGTTAACTTTGTTGCCTTAGTTACCGAGTCAACAAAGGCAAGAGATGATTTTCACTTTTAGGTCAGATTATTTAGACTCATCCAGAGTAAGCACTCGGTAGAGGCAAGTGGGATCGAAAATAAAGTTTGATTGAATGAAATCTCAATTATATATATATAGATAGATAGATATAGCGTCTGGTGATAAGCCGATTAGCCTTCTTGATCAGTTTGCTTTAATATGGCTGTAAGATTGATAACCTTATCTGATAATGTCCGTCATATAACAGACGAAAGCCTAGCATGTGTGCCAACCGACCGTTGAGAAAGAGGAATCCGCCGTCGTCTCCAAGTGGCATCGACATTCGAATCTTTGAATCAAACTCACTATCTTAAAATGGAAGTAAGCTCAACAACCGTAAACCATTGATTCCCCGAAACTAAAGTGTTCTTCGAAAATCTTGACCAGCATGAGTGGAAGTAAACGAGAATCCTTCTCTGGGCTTTCGTCAGATTTTGAACTTTTTTCTGAAAATGCTGCGCTTTTAGAAGAGGTATACATTTTCGAAGCTAACTGGGTCATAATGTTTAAAAAAAAGCACCACGAAGCTAAAACACAATTCCTCAGTTTTAGCCAAAGCTCATCCTCGGTGATGTGATACAGATACACATTTGCGTGTGCGCAGGCCTGTGTGTGCTTGGCTTACCGAACCAGATGAGTGAGCAAGTGACGACCAGCTGATAAAGCGCCTGCCCGAGAATATTCTTCACCATAGACCGGCTTATCAACGGCTTCGTGCGTCCGTAAGGGGCTCGTTCGAGTAGCTCCTCGGTCGGAAGTTCAGTTGCCAACGCTAGGCTAGCCAAAGTATCCATGATCAAGTTAACCCAAAGCATCTGAACCGCCTTCAGAGGACTATCCTGTAAAATAAGGAGCAA